CAGGTTACAGTTCCCCAATACACAGCCTGCACCCCCTTTCCAGCCTGGCCCCACTCTTCCCCAGTTCAAAGTCTTTGTTCTTCACATGTTCCTCCAGGTGTTGAGATGGGGGGGGGGGAGAGGGAAGGGGAAGAGGCGAAGTGATGATGTCACTGTCTCTCTGTCATACTTTCTTCCAGCTTGCTGGAAAGATCTTTCCCTGTGATGTGGGTTAGTGTGCCCCATGACGTGCGTGCTTTCGCTGAGAAGTCTCTGGGAGAATGGATTGGGTGTTGATGAGCCATTGATGCTGTCTGGCTATTGATAGCTATATTGCTTGTAACTGAAAGGCTGGTTGTGGGTGTTCCCAACCTCACAACATATTTCATATTTCAGTAACACATCTAGCAATACTTCATAACTTCACATACATGGAGAGCACCTACAACCCAACAGGATATTAATGTTCAACAGATCAAGACTTTTAAAATGATACCTCACAAAACATATAATTATCAGACAGTGGTGAACATGGGATTTCCAGGGTGCTAATTTGAGGCACAGAGTGTAACAAGCTCCTTTTATGTAAGCCCGCTGGGCCTTGATTGGCTGCTCCGTACAGCCTCTCTCTGATTGGCTGCTCGCTGCGTAGCTGCCATAGGCTGCTTTTAACCCCTTCCTTTCCAGCATGGGGTGAATACCAGTGTATTAATCACAAGAACAATTTTTTTTCTAATATTTTACTGAATTTTCTTTGCACAGTGTGAATAAATCCAAACATTATCATGAGGTTATTGGTTGGGTTAATGATTTGATAAATAATAATATACTAGCTCTTCTAGAGAGCACTTTTCAGCTATAGACCTCAAATGTTTTACAAAAGAGGTCAGTATAATTATCTCCATTTTATAGATGGGGAAACTGAGGGCCAGAGAGGTGAAGCGACTTGCCCAAGGTCACCTAGCTAGTCAGTGGCAGAGCTAGGAATAGACACCAGATCTCCTGAGTCCCAGTGCCGTGATCTAGCCACTAGGACACACTGCCTCCTCAGTCTGCCCTGCCTCATTATTGCCCTTCAGCATGAATAATAATAAAGCCAATAAAATGGATCCCTTTCCACAGTCTGTTACCATTTATAATAGTACTCCTGGATCACTGTAAAAAGGCATGGCAATAACATCATGACATGCTATGGGAAACATTCAAACAAAGCGTGCTGCATTCTCAGCTGCTAGAAATCAACATATTTATTGATTTCATCCATTTCTTTTTAACTAAACTTCAATAAAAGAGCAGCTGCTCCAGGTTTAATGGAGTGGCGGTCTGGCATTCTTTGCACCATCTCAACTTTTTTTATTCAACTATATCTAGACCCAGGGTCCACATGTCTTCAAATTCATATACTTTCTCTCTACAGCAATAAGTTGTTCTTTCTTTGGCTGCTAATTCAGCCAGGTTCAAATACCACGGCTCTAGTCTGGGCATAAGCGGATGCTTCCATTGTTGTAAAATCCTGTGCTTGGTGATCATTGCAGCCCTCCAGAACCAGGCTTTGTTAATAAACAGACCCACCCATTACTGCCATTCAAATCACAGAACCTAGCGACAAGCCCCGGCCCTGCTCAGTGGAGCGATACCAGTTTACACCAGCTGAGGCTCTGGGACCAAATGCCCATACACGACAATATAGTGACACGTATCAAGGAAAGTGTACACACAAAAGCCAATTCATTCTCACCTGAAGGCCAGCACAAGACTCCATGCACCACTTACACCCTCCTGTATAAGTGATGTATATATGGTCCTATTTGTGCTGGTGAACTGTGTTGGCACCAGGGGGCTACTGCCCCTGAATGGATCTTTAATGGCTCCCAGTGGAGCAGATTACTGTCATTCCAGTGAAAAGGTCCACAGTAATTATTTTGCATACACAGCACTTTATTTGAGAAGGAATCACACCAGCGGTAAAAGGTTACATTAAGCACATAACTCCTATGTTAGACATTAAGAACGATACAGTAAGAGCAATACATTCCTCTTAGTGAGCCTCTCATTCACAAACAGGCCCTGTGCTAGCCTCACACAGTTCCTGCTTGGCAAACAGTCATCCATAGAATTGGTAACCACCACCTCTTCTTCCCTCCAGGTCTGGTCTCCTCAGCCCTCTGGTCTGTCTCGGATTCCCTCGCGGCCAGGCCTTGGCTGCCTGGAGACCCCTCTGGTCACAGTCCTACTTGAGCCCACGGAGCAGAGTTGTGGCTACTCTGTCTAGCAGCGTTGCTTCTTTAAGCGTTAATTAAGGAATTCCCCCCAACAGTAATTTAATTGGCTTGATTTTTATACTTTTTCCTCAAAAGGGGCAGATGTCTTAAAAGCATGCCCAGTGGGCGTGTGGCTACTAATTTTTACCGGGTTAGTACTTTCGGAGGAGACTGCAGAGTGGTGGCAACTGAACATTACCCCACATTCCCTCCCTTATCAATCATTCACTTCAGCCCCCTGTGTGATGTCCTTCAACAGGGTTCAGCCCGTGCTCCGCTCAGGATGTTCTACACGTGTTGTTTGCTTTCCAGTGGGCATATTTGCAGACCCAAAGATCAGTATTGATCATACACGCAGCATGGAGCCAGTCAGCTTCACCTCTGGCATCTGCCTGATGCTAAGAGAAGGATTCTGCTCCCAGGATTTTGCTAGCACCCCCATTTCTTTTGTTTTTTACTCCTGCTTTGTTCCAGAGAAGAACGGAAGTTTGGCGGTGAGATCCAGTCATGGTATTGGTAGGCAGTGCAGTGCAGTCATTGTCACCCCTGCTTTGAGTCCACCTGCCAGAGGAACACATGGGCAGCAACGCCAACGTACAGGGGGACTGAGTTTGTTCCCCGTACGATTTTGCTCCCACAAAGATGTCATTGGCTTTAGGAAGCTACAGCTGAGGTAGATGAAGACTGATGGGCCATCTGCTGCATCACACAGCAGAGGGGAACAGAGGAAAGCAACATGCACAGCCATTTTGAATGGTCAGTGGGTCCCTGTCAAGACTAATTCTCTACTCTGTCACTCCCAGTACAGAAGTGGGGCCCGCAAGGATTTTAAAAATTAATACTGGCCACTCCAGGCTTGTATTAAACTCCCAAGGTTACAGCTTTTCTCTGACCTTGGCTTGGTAAACGCTGCCACCACCCAAATGCAAAAAATAACCTCTTGGACCCAGGAAGGAGCACTTGGGAATTCCTCCCTGTGGGGTACGCTCAAGCCCCTTCAGCTCCCCCACCACCTTCGGGGAAAGAGCAGAGAAAGAAAACAAAGGAAATTAGCTGTGGCTACCAGCTAATCAAACATGCACAAACCTTTTAGGACACCAAAAATCCAATCCTGTTCTTAAAAGAGGTAAATTTTATTAAAAACAAAAAGGAAAAAATTACATCTGGAATTTTTTGCTAGATTTTAAAAGAGCAATTCCAAAAATCAAGCACCCAAAATAGCTTTCTTGGGGGTTCAGCTTAAAGGTTACAAGCAAACAAAAGCATCAGGGGTTAGCACAGAGGAGATCCACAAGCCAAAATAAAAAAATTAACCTGATTGTGTCCAACTAAACATTCCCTATCCAAATAATTTCTGCTAGGGATGGAAGATGAATGTTCATACCTGGTTCAAGCCTAACACAGCATTCCCGCTCCGTCCCTGCAGCCCAGAGACCAAAGGGAAAGTTTATTTCCCTGTTTTAAAAAGTTCTACTTTCCCATTGGCTCTTTTGGTCAGGTGTCCACTCTTTTTTTTTTACTTGTGGGCTTGTTAATCCTTCACAGGTAAAGCAAGCAGAGAACAGACCAAGAGGGATTTTACAGCTAACTGGTTGGCTGGGTGTCCATCAAAGGGAGCTACTTCCCCCTCCCCCCATGTATGACAGACCCAGTAGCAACATATGCTTCAGTTTCTTCTCACCCATGGCCATTCAGCCACCAGCTGTGCCTTATCTGTACTGGTGTGGGCAGGGGGGAGTGGGGAGACATGTCTGGTCACAGGAAGAGAAGAGCCAGTGGTAGCCTCCATATGTGGGATGTACACGGGGGGAGAGACAGACCAGACACATACAGGGACAAATTGCCTGGCTACAGCCACCTCTCCACACCTTTAACCTGTGTGGGTCAGACTTTCTAATGCTCAACTGAAAGTTTTGGCTATGCCTGCTAACCCTTTCCAGTGTGGACAAGGCCTATCCGGCAGCAGATATGAGGCTAACAGAACAGTTGCCTATCGGTCCCCAAAATGCAAATAGAGTTGTTGTAAGAGATCATTCCTGAGTCAGGAAACGTGTGACTTAAATATTCCGAATAAGAAGACAGTCCTCACAGTGTATATAAATGATTGTAAATTAACCAATCTCCCCTAATTAAGGGGCAGCAAGTAGCCTGCCTAGAAAAGTAAGAGAACATCTTACACCTCCTTACTTTCCCACATGGGTGTCAAAATTGTGCCAATAACAAGGCCTTGACTGAAAGCTGAATATTAGACCTCAGTTTAGTTTTCGTGAAAACCCCCCTGCATAGGTATGAAACATAACATGATACAAATATACGACAATACACCCTCCCCTCCCCCCCAAAACTACAAACTAGCAATCAACATCTGTCTGATTAGAGGAGCAACATTTCCCAGGGCCAGAGGTACTTTCCATGTGTTCATGTCTGATTATCTGAAACTTCTCTGAAGGCTAGTGCATGGATCAGGTAAACTGCCTGCTGCTGTTACAACAGTATACAACAGGAGATACACCATATTCATTCAACCCAATTTAGAAGATTTAATGTTAAGAAGCAGAAGTACATTCATTATGTTCACATGAACAAATACAAAATTGTGTTGTGTTTTGTTGTTTTTTTTAAACAAAGTATTTTGGTAGACCAGCTATTACTGGCAAAAAGCTGACATTTCTTACAAAAATATATATCTATATATAATCCTACATAGAGGTAGGATTTTTTTTCTCCACATTGCATAGTATTAAATATTCAACAATAAAATAAAAAAATAAAAATAAAAACGTTAAAAATAAAAGGCAACTATTTATACTAAAAAAAATCCATTTTGACCTGTATATTGATTCTGATCAATACAAATTTAAATTGTTTTGCTTAGAACATATAAATATTAATAAAATAAGGTTAATATTAAATAGCTGTGAGCTGACAAATCCTTGGTCTGTGTGTGTGTGCGCGTGTGTTTCTCTCCCCCTTCACTAGGGAAGCAGGACTGGGTTCTTCTCATGGACATCAACCACCTTGTATTCTTGGTTGTTGGCTTGCCTCTCCTTCTTGTTTTGGTACCTGGAAATATTAAGATCAGGGAGGTTGTTAAACCATTGCTTCCAGAGAAAAAGCAATCAATCGCATAACTGTGCCATAACTAAGTAGCTCTAGCACTTATTCCACTTCTCCATAGAAGCTTCCATCCTACAAGGTGGCTGAGCAAAAAACTTCCCTGTTCAAAGTAGTACATAAGCACTTTCTTAAATCCCATGAAGAGCTAGACATCTGCTGGTTGGCTAGAGCTTATGTTCAACAACTGAACCAAGAAAATCACCAGCTAACCATTTCAACCATAGACCTGAATTAAACCACAGCAGATACAACAAGCCTCCTGCATAAGGATTGACCTTTTGGGGGTTTGTTTTCTTTTTCTAAGTTTTGTTAGTAAAGGGATGCGTCCATCTTAGTATTCTTGCTCTTGGAATTTTTTTGAACTAAGCACATTGCTAGTAATGAGAGGGTGTGCATATGTGCACACAAAGAACCCACAGAATTTAACTGCGAACAGCACCCAGAGACTAGGTAAAACACCCACAACCGCCCTAGGTTAAACAATCTTGCTATTTGAAAGATCACATATTACACATTAGAAGTTGCGTATTTAATGCTGAGAAATCACGTTGTTATCTTCCCCTACGCGATTCCTTTGAATTTTAAAGTGCAACAAATTATGTCATCTTGAGTTATATTGGAACATTTCATATAACCCTAGGGATAGAGGAAGAGACTTGCGGTCACTTAACCACCCACAGTTTGGGGAGGCTGCCTGAACTGGCATCAGAGCTGTAGTCTTCAACCCGGGAGTGATGTGAACCCCTCTTTCAGCCATTCTGCAGTATATCTAAAAATACCAATTGGCATGGAGATGGATAACGTTGACTGCTAAACAAACATCCCATGCTCCCAACTTATTAGATAGCTTATTAAAGAATAATTGGTTTAATGGTTATGGTTGGACCAACCTAGTAATTAGATTAAGGTGGTTATTTGATATTAACCCCCTTTTATTATTTTTTGCTTAGTTATTTAGATCATATATAAAGTGGAAACCTGTCTGGTTTTGATGTTTCGTCACCAGGAGTCAGAACCTGAGTAGTCTGGAGTAGATAACTGAGCCAAGTCTGTGACCCATCTAGTGGTGGTTCCATAGAGCTGCCCCTATAGTCCTTACAGAGAAGGGTGAGCCCACACTTCCTGCTGTCCGGATTGTGGGCATGACCCCAGATGGATTTCATTCTAGTTTCTCTCCATATTCAGTGGATAGAGCTGTGCCCGAGGAATATTAGTGCATTGTTTGAACTAGTGCTATTCATGATGCCAACAATGTATCATATATTTTAGCAAAAACACAAAGTTTCATTTACGATCACCTAGCCAAAGCAAACATAATTAATCCGCCCTTTTCAAAAGTAAATAAGTGCAGTGTAATAAGCATGCACAGTATCCAAAAAAACTTAATGTAATCAAGCAAAAATAAATCAATCAATCTCAATGTGACTTCTTTGTGAACTCCTCCTCTGCCATCTTCGTTAAAACCAAAGCTTTTCACCCTAGCTGGAGAAGCGGAGTCATATTTTAAGAGCACACAGCAAAATATGAGAGCGCCTTACCATTTGTAGATGTAGTATGCTGCAATCAAGATTGTAATGAGGAAAAATAGGCTTAAAATAATGGCCAGTGCCAAATATTCTTTGTTCAGGTGCTGTGTGACAAGTTCCGAATGCACACATCGGACCCCGGAGAAGCCTACATCACACCTGAAAAAACAAAGGAAGTGACAGTTATAGAAAAATACACTGTGCTGGTTTGAAACCCAATGTCAGTATGGAGGACTATGGATGGGGAAGCTCCGGAAAATTTCCTGCAGAGAACAATCACGCAATGGCACATGCAAGACCAGATGATCCAACAGCTCTTTTCCATTTCTAATTTCTAGGATTGAATTGGTTTCCTCAATAAACCCCAGTGCTCTAGCATCTCTGGGAAGGGGGTAATGCCTTCATAAGATATCCAGGATCTTCTCCTGCAGAGCCATGTGGAGGCAAAGCTCATAAAGAAACAATGGGCTGTTTGGCCCAAACCAGGCTCGGGAAGTCACATGCTGCATGTAGAAGTTGTTGGGCAGATTTTCCTCTCTTGCACTGGTTTAAATCCAGAGAGTTACTCCTCACTTACACCAGCATAAGTGACCTACACATTGCCCCAATGATTGACCAATGACTAGTTTAAGATCTATAATAATGGGCCATCCTATGTGCACTTGTCATTATTTTGGTTTTTCCCTCTTCAGGTTCAGGCCCCAATTCAGCAAGATATTTAAGCATGTGCCTAAGTTTATGCACACGCATAGTCCAATTGACTGCAGTCAGTTCATGAATTCAAGTCCCATTGAAGTCAAGGGGATTACTCAGATGCTTAAAGTTAGGCAAGGGCTTAAATACCTTGCTGCATCAGGGCCCTAAATTGCGTTTGATTTTCATGTGACAGAGTCTGAAAGCAGGTGAAAGGAGAGATCAAAGCCAGTTCATGCAACTGCGTGTAATTCATGTATGCACTCGAACTCAGGAAGAAATGCAAAATGGTATTCTACAAATTTCCTCTTACCTACAGTAATGTTGATCTAAATCCACAAGGTACATGCACTGCCCATGGAAGCAGAAGTCTTGCATTTCAGGCTTGCATTTGGTTATCCCGACTTGAGCCACCCGCGGGCTATTCTCCGTCTGAACTGGAAGTAGATTTGGTTAATGTTTCGTTAGTGTTTTTCCCCAAGCATTGTGCCTGCATTTCTTAAAACTGTATCATTTGCATTTATTCTTATGAAACCTAGGCTAGGGCTGAAATTTGCAAAGCCAATTCCCATTAAAATAAATAAGGATTATAAGGCAGTCAAACCCTTGAGATGGGCTTTGAAAATCCCACCCTGATTGTTTTTTCTATTGGGAATTCTGGGCCCAAGATACAAGAGTAGCTATATCAGTGGATACTGTACCACAGTGAATTGTTTTCTGAGGCATAATTATTTAACGCTTTCGGTTTAATAAAAGGCAGTAGAGACTCAGGGTTGGATCCTGCCAGATGCTTAGTACCTTTCGGAACTCTTCTGAACCCCAGCACCTTGCAGGCCCTAAAATATTAACTCACTTGGTTTTTAAAATGTGGCTTCAAGTTTATGGGCCAGGTTTTCAAAAGTGCTCAGCCCCCCCCTGAGAAAAATGGGAATTGCCAGACACTGAAGACTTTTGCTGAACGGGCCATGTTTTTAAAGAGGCAGTGTTAAAATGTCATACTTACTCAGTGCTGTTGTACAGTTTTCCATTTCATTTGGTTCACATAATGGGATCACTGTTGTACCAAAGACAGCTTGCAATAGATAAAAGCCTATGGGACAGACAAATAACAAAAATTCCTATTAATGGCGCAAAGAAATAAAAGCAGCATTGGAGGAATTTCTTCTAGTTCTAGTAATTTGGAGTACTTAGTTTGAGAGAGTTTCTTTCTAGAGTTTAATCACAATCTCAACATAAGCCTACTAATATAGCCAGAGAACAGATACAGGTATGGTCCTTAGGATCAACCAAGCCAAACACAAATACTAAAATGCAATACAACCATATTAAAGGTCTGTGGCCCCAATTCAGCAAAGTACATAGTGATAGGAATAGGGATTAATTTAAGCCTGTGTTTAACTGCTAGGTTCAGTAGGGATGAATTTAAGTATGTGCTTAAATGCTTTGTTGAATTGGGGTTCTATGAATGAGAAGGGGAGCAGGATTTGACCCATGCTCTGACTGCAGTCTTAGTGGTATGAACCTCATGGACATGGGACCGGACTATGGAAAAACACTTAAGCATATGCTTACCTTTAAGCACATGCTGAAATCCCATGGACTTCAATGGGACTTAAGCACGTGCTTAGACATTTTGCCGAACTGGGGCTATGGATCTCACATTGATCTAACTAAGAACCAAATGCCCCACTGGATGTGCATACTCCATTGATGCAACAGGAACCCCTCACACAAAATTTGCACCCAAAATATGAGAAAGTGCACATCTTCACTGCCATTTACCGTTTCAAGCTTCGGCTGATCTCCTAAATACATTTGTTTTTAAACGCTAGGCTCCCGTTCCCAGGGCTTGATCAATTGAAGTTAATGGGGAGACTAACTGTTAGAGCTCGTTAACCAAACAAGATCAAGGTTGGTCAATAACCGAAGAGGAGTTTTAAAAGGAAACCCCAGATGCTGCAGGAAGTGTTGGTGACTCAGCAGATGGCATCTTTCTGCTGACTCAGAATTGAACCAACACCCTGCTCCGGGGTTCAGGGGACACCATCTGCTCAGATGATGCCTTGGTGAAACCTGGTCACCAAGAGTTTTATTTTGTATACCACACACATGGTTATTATGCCTGAGCCCACAAATAGGGTATTTGCTCATTCAAGTGGTTAGTTAGATACTTACCTGGCCATCTATGCACATAAATCTCCCATTTGTGCATGCAATCACATGTAGGTGGGGATTATCAGTGTTGCCTAAGGAAGTCAGGCACTCAGCCACCACTGAATATGAATGGGTGTTAGGCGCCTAACTCTCTTCAGTGCCTTGGAAAATTCCAGCTGTATTTGCATGTGTATTGGTTTGTGAACCATTTAGAAATAGGAACAAGATCCCAGGAAAAGTGTCACCCGTCTCCAGCTCTATAGTTTAAACTGGGTACATTTCCCTTCAGTTCACCTCCAGAAATCCACATAGTGCAGTATTGCTGACACAGAATGGCTGTTGCATTTACACAGCAGAGGTGGCCACGTTATAGCAGTGAGGGCAAATCCTAGAGACACAATTTGTAAAGCACTCTGGCATCCTTCGAGTTATAAGGTGCTGCCCACGTACAGATTTCAGGTATTCTATCAATGGAATGTGCATCCCCGCACAGGCTTCTATAGTAATCCTCACAAATATTCGGAGGTCCCATGATGAATAATCAATCTTTGCCCCAACTGGTCAGGAAATCCGCTTTGCTAACACTTTTGCTGTGGTCACAAGCTAACCCGCTCATGAACTGTTTAACTGTCAGCCCCATTCCATTGCAGTCTGTAATTTCGGTCTTTGCCTTTGGGCTGCTAGCATCTTTCGACTTGTCAGGTCATGCGTGCCTAATGAAGGGAGCGTGCCTTCATAATTTCTCGATCATCCTTTTTATTAAACTTCCAGTTATTAGAAAGTTTTATTATGTTTCAGCCACGTCAGTTCCAGAATGATTATGGACTTCCTGCTGCCACTCCATTTTATACTATTGCTAATAGGCTTCCCTCTTCTACTTCACGTCAGTTAACAAGGCTTTTCTAAGTACTCTGTATTTAACATTAACCATGGAGCCATATCAATTCTGTCCCTCTTAAAATATATATTTGTCACTTTCTATTCTGAAACACAATATTTTAATGAAAAAATTAGACTATTACTCTTCTTACATCTTCAGCTAGTATAATTAGTGTAATGGGAAAAGTGGGCATAGATTCCTATTTTCCCGGGGGGGGGGGAGGGAGGGGGAGAGCCATTAGAACAGTGTTATGTCACAGGAAAACAAACGGGTTTTGTTTTTTTTTTAACATTAAAAATACACCTCTACCCCGATACAACGCTGTCCTCGGGAGCCAAAAAAAATCTTACTGCATTATAGGTGAAACCGTGTTAAATCAAACTTGCTTTGATCCGCCGGAGTGCGCAGCCCCACACCCCCAGAGCACTGCTTTACCGCGTTCTATCCGAATTCGTGTTATATTGGGTCGCGTTATATCGGGGTAGAGGTGTATTCCAAATCAATTAAAATTAAATCCTGCCAGCATTATTCAGCCAAAACTCCCGTTGAGTGAGATGGGAGCAGGGAAGGGCTCCAGGTGGGTTTCCTTTACGGTTGGGTTTTTCAAAGGCACTGTGTGTGGGCCATTGACTTCAATGGGACCATTTGACTGAGTGGAGCAGAGTTAGCCACAGCACTTTTGGGGAAAAAAACCAACCCCAAAACCTGACGTTCCAAATGAATTCCCATTTGGGAACAAAGAGCCAGATCATCAGTTGGCATCAATCAATGTTGCTGCATTTATTACAGTATAGCTATGTTTATTTACACCAGCTGAGGACCTGGGCCAAAACACAGACCAAATCCTGAGCTCCTTCCCCAAGTAAATATCTCCTTGAATGGGAGGTTTACTTGTATGAGACCCTTGACTCACAATGCTTGCCCCTGGGAGTTGGGTATTGATGCTGAGATTTTCAAGAGTGCTCAACATTGGCCTAACTCTGCTGCCATTGAAATCCAAGGTAGTGAGTGGGGTGTTCGTGAGCCCCCCGCTCACACTACTGTACCACAGGGTAAGGTTGAATGTGTAAGTTTTGAAGAAGGCATCTCTCCAATACACAGTACCCCAACTCTCATCTCACTTACACCCACAAAAATTCTGTGAATGGAAGAGACCAGCGTCACCTGTTCCATAGAGTCTCTAGAGACTAGCACAAGCCAAATTCTGCCTGATAGGTTCACACAGACAATCCCACTGAAGCCACAACGGGGGCTGTGCATATGTACCGGAAAGCAGAATTTAACCCAAGAGGCTCTAGATCCTTTGTAGACATTAGGCTCTGTTGGGTGAAAAAGAAAAAGAATAGCTATGATTCTGATCCCATTGACACTACTGTAAATCCAGAATGACTCCGCTAAAATTAAGAGATTTCTGATGGATTTACATCAGAACCTGGCCTTACTAAAAACCCTAACTAAAGAGTGGGAAATCCCTATATGTGCAAAAGCTGCAACTTCCTTTAGTCCTGAATGATGTACCAAGTGCCTCCTAGAAACACTTGCCTTCAATGTGGCCCAGTACTGTACATCCGGAGACAGTGAACACATGCACAGTTAAGCAACAGAAAGAAATAAAATAAGCCACCAATGTCAGAGCCCAGACTAAAACTTGTCACATTCTGCCTATGCAGAATAGCGGATGGGCTCCTTCGTTAGGTGATTGCAGATAGGTGGGGGAAATAAGTTCATTACCAAAGCACAACATGGCAAGTACATTTTCAGATACACCTTTGTATCTTCTGGCATTAGGACAAAATTCTCCTCCCCAATCGGCACCGGTGATCTTTGTTGCACATTCTGGCCTTTTTCCATGCACGTCATTCCCAATGACGTCAATGGGAGTGCAAAGGAGATCCGGGGTGTGGATAAGGGATCTGCATTGTAGATCGAAGCAGAGAGCCTTTCCCAGAATGATTACCTGCCTGGCGGCTGTTAATTTCACAACTCGTGTGTGTCTATTGCTGCTATGGCGAGCGTTGAATGAGGAATCTGGGAAAGGTGGGGTCCTGTTTGTATTAATACCTTGATCAGTAAGCAAATACTGTTATCTTGTACTGCCGAGTGTAGTGGGATGGTGGGTATTTATTACTGATTCACTGGAATGTTACTTTGACACTTATTGCTGCTTAGCTGGAATGCAAGTGGAATGCTTTTTTCTGCTTTACGAAAGGTTAGCATGGTCATACTTGCAGGCTGCCTTACTGGAATCTTACTGCTGTTGACCAAGTGTGGGGTGAAGAGAATCAGACCCAGGGTGGAATACCAGGGATTTCCCGTAATACCCGTGCAATATGCAACAGCTACCAAGGGTGGTCAGTATGGTCTTAGGTAAACGTAATTCTAATATGTTCCAATTACAATGGACCTGATTCTCATTGATATACGTCACGGCCTTCCAGCAAATTTAAACCCCCTTTAAGGCAATATAGGCCAATCTTTTTATTTTCGAAATCGTTTCTCAGATGTCATTGTGTCACTTTCAGGTTTTACTAGTCATCAGTAATATACTAATTGAACATGGAGGAACATTCCTGACCCTGGTTAGGCAGGTCACAGCCCCACGTTTCAGTACAGTACGAGAGAGCGAAAGCTACGCACACATAAATAACTGTGTGCACGTGCCTCAGCTGTGCAAGTTCCAAATGTACATGTGTAAATCAGGTAGTTGTGTAGGCACAGCTAGTATTTGGGGGCATAAGTTAGGCAGGCACAAATGAGTGTGTTTTACTACTAAGTTCTGGGCCATGCTGTGTAGCAGTTTGTTCATGGAAGGCATAATTCAACTAATCGCTTTATTTCACTTGCGACTTGATCTTACACCCATTGAAGTCAGTGGCAAAACTGCCTTTGACGTCAAAAGGAGGCAGGATTGGGCCCATTAAAAGTAACTGTATTTTATAATGTCCACACTTAGGATGTGCTGTCTGAATTCCTCCCTGTGCACCTCTGGGAAAGTGTCTTTGGAAAAAAAGTTTCCACTGTCATCAGTGGAACGTGTTAATTTATATGCAAATATGCTAATTAACATATCATTACATTTGGATGTAGATTAGTGGTGATGAGCTAATATTTTAATTCAGTGCAATTAGATGCATCTTTAAGTGGGGATTACGGAAAATCAAATTGAGGGCATTATCACCGTGACGCTGGCAGATCAAGTGCCAGCTCAGGCCAACGCCACTTGGCCTCACTGAACGCTGACAAACACATAGTTGTCTGGCTGGTCTCCGTGTTAGTATTGTTAAAATAGATATCAGCGTTACAAGAATGTGCTTAAAATTTATGGAATGCTTGTAGGATGCTGCATGTTATATCTGTAACCCATGTTATAAGGTAATGTTTAAGAGTTTGTTCTGTAACTATAAACACGTTTGCCAAGGCTGTAAAGCCACACAGTCAGGACAGAAGCATTACCAAATGTGAAATAACCCCTCTTGTGGTTATCTCCTCCCCAACAAAAAAAGGCCTATAGACACTATAGACTGTGGAGCATCAGTAGACAAGAGACTTTGTTGATTGCTTCCCCACATCTCTGAAGAGGGTAGTGCACAAGCCCTCATCCCATCACAGCGTGAATGCTGGGGATGGGGAAAAAAATCCCCATCAAGAAGGAATTATTATCCCGATGCTGCTTGAAGTCTGAGAGGTGAAGATTTCTGAGCATAAGCAAGGGGTCCCCAGCTGTTTAGCTTGAGTTAGCCCTAAAGGACATATAAAGCTTGCATATTATAGCAGCTACTATCATCTCTCAGAACCTAAGTCTATCTCATTTGTGTGCATGTTTACCTGCTTTAACCTTGTAAATAACGTTTCTTTTTCCTAGTTAATACATCTTTAGTTAGTTTTTTACAGGACTGGCTACAAGTGTTGTAGGTAAAAATAAGCCTTTATCACAGGGCTAAAACGCTAATGATTCCTTTCCAGGTTTACCTTCTGGAACACAATTTCACCTTTACATTAGTGCTCTGTCAGCTGAGGAATTGTCCAAGAGGTTTAAAGATTCTGGACCAAAACTCCTTAGATCACAAAGGGCCAGGCTATGAGAACCATACACTCTCCAAGTAGCCCCTTACTTCTACAAGCAGCATCAAGGACTGACTGGGACAACCTCTGGGGGTAAGGAGCTATTCAGCATGAGTAAGAGGATCACAATGTGGCCCACAGTAATTTCTCTAAATAGTTTTTATAAGATTCTGTCATGAAATCGACTAGGGTTTAAGAGTGGCTACAGGAAAGACACATCCCCTCCAAAACTAGAGTATATTTCCGGGGGGACATTTTTCTTCCATAGGCCAGAGTGAAATACTCTGACTCTCAGTGAGTAGCATCTTACTTCCGCTGAAGTCAATGGATCCATTTGGAGAGTAACGCACTATTCAACTCATTTTAATATGACATATCACAATCTGGCCCTCTGTGAGTAAGGGTGGTCAAATCTAGCCTTTTAGAGACATAGGTTCACAGATATTTGCACAACACATTTCAATGTCATCCTTGTGCTGGAAACAGTCGATGCCCAGATTAAAAAGGCCATGGCTTTATTTGTAATGTGTTGGCAAATAAAATGGTTGTATAACAGCTGGAATGTAAAGTGGCATGGAAGTAAATGTGGAAAACAGAAACTGATGAGTTCATGCTGAAATAGGCTTGGCAGGTGATGAAACACCTGCACTGTAATTAAGTGCTGCAATGAAGTGGTTAAGCACCTTTGCGAAGGCTCAAAAGCACTAGACGTAGGGTAACAATGGAATTCTGTTATTTAATGTCTCAATTAACAACCCATTGTAGACATTAAAGTAGACTTTGGAATCACAGAGCAATGAATGGCATTTGCAAACACTTTGGGCCCAACTCTGCCCTCAGATACCTGGGCACAACTCCCACTGGGCCGGATTCTGATCTTCCTTGCACCAAAGCCAAGTCATGCTCTTAGTTGGTCAGTTTCCAGCAATAATCCTGGGTCACCACTACCATTGCCCAGCAAAGGTGCAGTACAAGCATTTGTTATTGCTCCATCAACATGGATCCCGGCTCTACAGATGCACAGTTTAGGCTCCCAATGCTTTGCCAAACTTTCAGACATACACTGAATGTATTACTGAAATGCACCGCACTGAAAAGGTGAAGAATCTAGACATCAGGGGAAACTGGTCACCGTTTTATTAGCAGAAGGCAGGCCTTTACCCTTCAGTCTGGCCTGGGAAAAACCTCCCATTGAGGTCACTGAGAGTTAAAGACTGCAGAATCTTCTCTGAATGGGATGAGGATTACACCAGATTTAGAGGCTGGGATCCCACAGTCCTTACAGAGGCAAAGCTCTCATTGAGGTCAATGGGAGTTTTGGGACTGCGAGGATGGCCCCTAGATTTTAAAAGCCCAGCTTGCTGCTCAGATCCCAAGAAAGAGAGAGATGAGGTGGGTGGAGAAACATCTTTTAGTGGACCAACTTCTGTTGAAGAGAGAGAGAGAGAAGCTTTGGAGTCCAAGTTGGTCCAGTAGAAGATATTTCCCCAGGAACCTCCTCTCTCTAATATCATGGGACCAACAGGGCTCCGAGCTACCTTGCTTACAAGAAATAACAGAACACAGAATTGTTTTTTCCCCCTTAAGGGATTAATATTTTCTAAAACCATTAGGTGGTGGAAAACCAGGGAGCACTTGTGGACACCGACCAGGGCCAGGTTCGATACCCTCCCCTGTCACCTTAGGACCCAAGCAATGCCACTGCTTTCCGTGGGGCCAGTCTCAGATGCCGATCAGTGCGGGTGAAATCTGGCCCTACACTTGCTAAAGACTTTCCAGAACCCAATGAGGCCCGCGAGCCTCAACCTGCCGTCAGCGAAAACACCCCGGGGCTGATTTCATCAGCGGGCTGCAGTCAAAACCGCCCCGCGGAATCCGGCCGCCTGAGTCACTGCGAACTCCCCGGCGGCCTGACACGCGAGGGAAAGGAAGCGCGGAACAGGTGCCTGGCTGCTGGGAGGACAGGCGGGGGCTTGTCCGTTCCCTGCCTGCCGCCCGTGTGCCACCGAGGCGCGGCTGGAGCGAGCCCCGCGCCTGGGACCCGCTCCCACGCGTGACCGCGGAGCACGCACCGCAGGACCGAGCCACGCAGGGTCTTTGCAGCGGGCCGGGCCAGAGCTGCTCCGAGCCCCAGCCCCGGGGCGTGTCACCCGCTGGGGAGCGCCCGAAAGGGCGCCGCTTACCCAGGCAAAGCAGCGCGCTCCGCATCCTCGGGCAGCCGCCGGCCTGCATCCCGCACCGCTCCGGATCCCGGGCTGGCTCTGCTCCGGCGGCGGCGACAGGCTGGTTGCAGCCCCGGCCGCCGCCGCCTCGCCCTTTATACCCTGCCGGGGCGGAGGCCGCTGCGGGCTTGGAGTCCCAGGTGACGAAATCCCGGGGCCGGCCCGGCGGAGGCTGGGGCCGGCCGCCCAGTCCCGACGCCCCGGGGAGGATTGCTTCAGAGAGCCAGCGCCGGCCGGGGAATCCCTCCGCCCCCGGCTTCCCTCCCTCGCCCGCCCGCCCGGGGGAGAGATCCCGGCCCCGCTGCAGGGGCGCCGAGCCGGAGCCAACGCAACAGCCCCTCTGCTGCTGGGGTAGGCGAGAGCCCGGCACCTGCTGCTGCCCAAGGGAGGAGCTGCTGCCGGAAGGGCAGGAAGGAAACGAAAGCTTCCAAGGGCTGGAAATCAGTGGGCCAAATTCTGCTTTCAGTTACCCTGGGGTAAATCTGGAGTGACTCCCTTTCCGCCCCCTCCTCCCCCAGGCAATGGATTTATTCCAGATTTACACGGTGGGGAATGAGGGTATGTCTACACTACGGGATTAATCCGAATTTAGATAATTCGAATTTGGGAAACAGGTTGTATAAATTCGATTGTGCGCGGCCACACTAAGCACATTAATTCGGTTTTTAACCACATTAATTCGGTGGTGTGCGGCCACACTACCCCATTAATTTAACCACATTAATTCGGTGGTGTGCGGCCACACTAACCCTAATTCGAATTAACAAAATCGATTTTGGCGCTACTCCGCTCGTCGAGGTGGAGTACAGAAATCGATTTTAAGTGCCCTTTAATTCGAATTAACTGGCTCTGTAGTGTGGACGGGTGAAGGGTTAATTCGGATTAACGCAGCTAAATCCGAATTGAAGTCGTAGTGTAGACCAGGCCTGAGAGCGGTCCCCACGTGGGTGGCTGCAGTTCTGCTCCAAGGCCCCCGTCCTTCTGGAGACACTCCAGGGGCTTCCATGAAGCCCTCACTTTACACTAGTATCGCTCCGGGTAGGAGTGGACTCACTCAGTATGTCCTTGGTCTCTGCAAGAATCAATCCAGTCAGTGCTTAATTTGTACCAGAGCTGAGCCCCTGCACCTCCAGGCTTGGCAGTTCATAGCCCAGGCACCTCTGGGGCTGCATCCGTTATGAATGCAAAAATATTGCTTGAGCCCCGGCACCTCTTTCAGTATAAAGTAGAGCACTGAATACAGTGGAAACATTGGATCTGCCATTGTTTATTCTACTCCAGCAGGTCACCTCAGCAGTGACCTATACCTGGTGCTGGAGAGAGGAGCCCAAACCTCCCACCATGCACCTCGCCCATTGCACAGCACTGTATGGTGGACAAGGAATTCCTGCCTGACCCTTGTCATCAGAGGCCCTGAAGCATGTGGTTTGATTGTACTTATTTTTAGCAAGCATTATTTTAAATATTAGTATTGGTCCTAACATTAGCCAGCCAGTTAAAGAACTCCAGCCCCAGCACTTGACTGCCACTTCCTGCAGCAGTAAATTCCAGTGGCTGACTGAACACTGTCAGGAGGGTTTCCTTTTATTTGTTCTAAATTTACCTACCACGAATTTAGTGGGATGAGACTTCATTCTAGCAGGAAGGACCAATGGCTGATCATTGTCTGTATCCGCCATGTGTAGGAGGAGCTGTTTGGCTGTTCTCTTGCCAAGAGCACTCCTTGAATGGCTTTGAAAAGAACGAGTGCTCCTTGCTGGATTGGCAGCTGTTTTATCTAATCTCTGGTCTATCTACATTTCTCATGTTCCCACCAGGGCAGTACAGCATCCGGCTGCCATGGAATCTCCGCTCGGGAGTCTGAAATGCTCCATTAAATTACCGCATAGGCAACGGGATGGCAGGTACTCCACCCTTGTGCCTAACCTTGACCTGGAGGGTTCATCTCTCAAGGTCTGAGGGTAGTTCAACCTCTATGCCCTCCCACCCCCCGGCCCTGTACATAGCCTGCCAGTGACCATTAGTGTCAATACTGGTTGTGGTTTTTGTCATGGGAACACCAGTCCATTAAGTACCACGGAGACCTCCAGTTCATTTCATGTATACCACTGAAGAGCCATCAGATGATAGCAATTCATGATCACTAGTGAACTAGGCTACATTTGACCAGTAACTCAGTAAAAGGCTCGGTATTCTGTTACCATTTTTTTTGAACTATCCAAATCAGCGTAGGCTTCATTCTCCTCTCACACTGGTGCAAAGTTTTTGTCTGTTTAAAGTAGCAGAACCATTTTGCTTTGTGATTTTCACCTTAAGAACACAGGAGGAGACACTATTCTCTTAATCCAGAACATCTGATGTACCTCCCTCAATGTGTAAAAGAGTTTGAGCAGTGACAATGCAGTGAAATTTAATAGCAAATTGATTCAAAAATCTGTGGATAGATTTCTCCATTTTTGAAGGGCTTGTTTACATAGAGAAATTGACCAGTATAGCTATGTGGGGATAAGCTATTCTGCGATAACTATTCAGGAATGACTCCCTATTTGGACACTTACTCCAGAATAAGAGCATCCACACAGGGAGTTTATTCTAGAATAGCTATAGCACTTGAAATTAACTCCCAGCCTTACTCCAGAATAACTCCCCTGTGTAGACAAGCCCCAAGGAAGTGTAAGAATGCTGACATTCGGCAAAAGCAGTAGGTCACTATGTGCTTTGATATCACACACTGCTCATCAAAGTTGTGCAAGGGTTAGGGAAAGCAGTATGATAAAGTAAGTCTTCTGATTGGACAGAGCGCTGACAGATAGATGCTTTGCATACCAACAGGACATTCTAAAGGATGATGATGTCTCCATGTGATTCCCCCCTCATCACCCAGCATTAGGGTAATCGCTTATCCCAACAAGATCAAACTTCTGCATTGCTGTCAACAGAGGGCAGCTTTTCTGATCCCACAGCATTGTTTCTTCTTTACAAGGGTTGATCCCCTTTAGTAAGTGTTTTATTGCATGCTTCTACATGATTAAAAGAAAGAGAGCTTGAACGATTTCTATACCATTTGTTCATATGGGGATTTTTGAAGTTGCTTGAGAAGCAGTATCACCACAACACTTCCACTGACTTATGACCTTATAATTAATTTCTCTCTTACACTCTCATATGATTTCTGATTGCTAGGAGAGCATTTAATTACAGGCTTGGATTGGTACCCAGATACCATTTAAAGCTGACACGATCGCAGCAATTCATTGGAATTTCCTCTTTCAAATTTTAATGTAAGGAAAACAATTATCATATAACCATCTTTGTTTAGTGTTCTTGTCATCTTCTTTGTCTTGTGGCGTATAATTTCTCATCACTCATCCTAGCTGTCACTTCTGTTACACTGTATTCTCTACAAATGTTGCTTTGAGAAGTGGACTTTGCCTCTTTGAACATACTACAAAACAGTCTTCTACAAATTGTAAATTTCAATGCTTCAGTTGACTTGGATGTTTAATTTTAAGAGCCAACTTGTGCTCTTAAAATTGCTCACAGTGAGTAGTAGCTTGCTACATGCGACGACTCACTGAAATCACAGAGATTGGGTATGTAGTAGAGGACTATTCAATATGAGTAGGGTAGCACAACTGGGCTCTGAGGGTATATACTTCAGCATTTGGGTGAGCTCTTAATCTAGTATAAATTGGCATGGCTCCATTGAAGTTAATAGTGGAGCTACACCAGTTTGAACCAGCTGAACATTTGGCTCTGGAATTCTACAGTTTAGGGTAGGAATTTCCCCCTTTTATGATGCCTATTGACTAGGTCAATTATCACACACTGTTTACAAAATAGGCAAATAATTTGTACAACAGACTTATTATGGCTTATTTTCCCTTCCTTCCCATTTCAAGCAGGATGTATAACATGGTTTATGATTACAGTGAAATTACTAGTGCAGGGTGCTTGTAGTAACAGAAAATTGAATTACTAGCTAACAGCCCACCTTTGAAGAAAACACATGTTCAAAAGTATATTGGCCCAATTCAGATCAACTTTGTTTGATCACATCTATACATGATTCTATCCTCCAGCCCTCTGCTGCAGTTATACATTTTTATTAGGGCTGTCAAGTGATTACAAAAAAATTAATTGTGCAATTAAAAAAATTAATCACGATTAATCACGCTGTTAAACAACAATAGAATACCATTTATTTTAAATATTTTTGGATGTTTATTACATTTTCAAATATATTATTTTCAATTACAACATAGGATATAAAGTGTACAGTGCTCACTTTCTATTTATTTTTTATTACAAATATTTGCACTGTAAAAAACAAAACAAAAAATTCAATTCACCTCATACAAGTACTGTAGTGCAATCTCTTTATCATGAAAGTTGAACTTACAAATGTAGAATTATATAAAGAAAAACTGCATTCAAAAATAAAACAATGTACAATTTTAGAGCCTACAAGTCCACTCAGTCCTGCTTCTTGGTCAGCCAGTCACTCAGACAAACAAGGTTGGTTACAATTTGCAGGAGATACTGCTGCCTACTTCTTGTTTACAATGTCTCCTGAAAGTGAGAACAGGCGTTTGCATGACAGTCTTGTAGCCAGCGTCGCAAGATATTTACGTGCCAGATGCACTAAAGATTCATATGTCCCTTTATGCTTCAACCACCATTCCAGAGGACATGCTTCCATGCTGATGATGGGTTCTGCTTGATAAGAATCTAAAGCAGTGCGGACTGACGCATGTTCATTTTCATCAACTGAGTCAGATGCCACCAGCAGAAGGTTGATTTTCTTTTTTGGTGGTTTGGGTTCTGTAGTTTCTGCATCAGAGTGTTGCTCTTTTAAGACTTCTGAAAGCATGCTCCACACCTCGTCCTTCTCAGATTTTGGACGGCACTTCAGATTCCTAAACTTTGGGTCGAGTGCTGTAGCTATCTTTAGAAATCTCATATTGGTACCTTCTTTGCGTTTTGTCAAATCTGCTGTGAAAGTGTTCTTAAAACGAACATGTGCTGGGTCATCATCCGAGACTGCTATAACATGAAATATATGCAGAATGCGGGTAAAACCGAGCAGGAGACATACTATTCTCCCCCCAAGGAGTTCAGTCACAAATTTAATTGACGCATTATTTTTTTAATGAGCATCATCAGCATGGAAGCATGTCCTCTGGAATGGTGGCTGA